GCCATTTTCATTCTGGCCGACATTTTTTGCGACCGAGTCCTAAGAGCACCGGGGTGAGCGCGTCGGTATGCGTTGGCTTCCTTCGCGGAGCGAAACCCACTCTCACAAAGTAGCGAGTAGTAGTCTGCAAAAAAAAGACCAATTAAAAAAAATAAAAAATAAAAAGAACAAAGCTAGTAATAAATGACGAGTAGTCGCTCACCCGGCACAAATGAGCTATGAAAGGTGGGACAGAGGTCGTGTTGCAACAGCACCTCCTGTTTCACGAGGCTCCTGTAGTGACGGGTCTCGGGAGAAATTTTGAGTAGGGTTCAGAGTCTATCGGCGAAGACGCTGCTGATGGGAGGATTCCGATTACGGACTGAAAACGTAAAACACCGACCTGTTAGCACAAAATAAACTTGAATTAGAACGAGCAGTAAGGACGGTTAACGAAACTTACAGGGGACGGAGGCAAAGTTCATTTTAGTATGTTGAGTAGCACCCGCCGTACGCCAAGCACCACCAACCCAAAACCACTCCGGCAGATAGCCGTGGAGGGTTTTGGGAAGTTTGTAGACCACCGAACTGTCAACGGCGGGAACTGTCACGCAATAGAAATTCCCAGAGGAGCCCAGTTTGAAGTTGAGAAGCGACTTCACCTCGGCACCAGTGGGACCTGCCCATCGTTGGCGACGGTGAAGGACGATTAGGCTGATCAGCCTAGCGAAAACGGTCGGTACAAGTTGACCAATGCCTACGTCGAGCTCACTTTACCGCTCAACGCATCTAGAAGCGAGAACCGAAGGCTTAGCATGACGCTCGACCGATAAACACCGATGCAGCCGGGCGGCGGGCAATGGATCCGCTCCCCGGCATAAGGCGCAAATATGTGAACCCCAGGGCCAAAATGATGTTTGCTTCGGAGCTGGATGAGGTCAACATCATCAATGACGGAAGGAATGTTCCAAGCCAGTTTCCCACTAGGCACTGGCCAGATGCGGGGAGGCCGGAGGTATCGAGGTGACCACCTCAACCACGACATCAGTGGCCGAGTCGCCGCGGCCCATAGGAACCCGTTCTCGACCGTCCGTATCGCCGCGTAAGGTCTCTCGAACAAGGTCGGGGTCAATATCTGAGTCCGACGCGTCGAGGAAACTAACATCCACATCATCCACGCCCCCACCAACATCAAAGGTCGTCCCCGTCGCCGAATGGACCGACCTCACCGCCGTAAGGGGAACCACCGATATCGAAGTGCCCCCGCAACTAGGAAGCAGCGGCGCCGCTAGCAGATGCGGTGTTCGCAGCCGAAGAAGAATTCATGAACGCGAAAAAAAAAAAAAAGAAAAGAACGAACAAGGAAATGGGAAAATCAGAAGGTTACCTAGAGGAATTGCTTGGTCCTGCTCGAAGCGCCGTGGAGTTCTGCTGCCGTGAAGCTATTCGAAAATTAGGGTTCCGTTGCAGCAAAAGTAGAAAAATCTAAAAGATGATGAAGAGGAGGTATATATAACCGAGGCTCACCAATCAGGCATTGCCACGCGTCCCCAACGGCCGAAAAAAAATTGAAATTAAAAGGGGAGAAACGGGACTGTTCAAATCCAGCGGGTGGCCCCTCCGATCGCCGCCACCTGTCCCCCATGCATCCCACAATCGGCCGACACGTGCGTATCTGTGGGCCACGCGCCCTGACACCCGCATTGTGAAAGCCCAAGCGTTACATCAGGTCGTGTCGCACGTCCATCATTCAAGAAGTCATTGAGGGACACGCCTTTTGAGGGTCGCGTGATTCGAGAATAGATAGACCCTTGGGGATGGAACAACCTCGACCGAAACAGTTCCAACATCTCGTCCAAGCTCGGGGGCCAATATGATGATACCCAAGTTGACTCTCAATTACCCACCTAATTAGAATGGGGTGGGGACAGACCAGCCGAGGACAGGAATCAACTCACCCCCGAGTTGAATCATCAACATAAAGAGAATGGGTTCAGTGATAAACAAGTGAACGGGTACGAGTCACGAAAGCCGACCAAGGTGCTAAGTAGGAATAGCGTGGACTTCCATTAATGACCCCACAAAGTAGAGGGCCGAGTGGGGCCAAGTGGGGCCAAGTGTTGGCCGACGGATGGACCCGAGGTCGAGTAGGAGGGGGTCGCTGGTGAAGGCCGGTCAGCGAGTCAGTAGGAGGCGTGGGACGGAAATACACCGATGGGACATTTCGTACAGGCTGGTTAACCTCAAGAGGAAAAAGTCTATGCCTAGACTTGACAGCATTTAATGCATCCCATGCTGGCATTTAATGCTGTAGGGGGTCATCATGGCCAAAATCCTGACTGCATTTAATGTCTGACACAGCCTGTCATTCCCTCCCACTGTACAACGGGATGGTGTGAACAGTGTCCCAACAGTGTTCAGTGGAGAGTAGTATAAATAGCTCATTTATGTCATCTTAGAGAAGGTAGCTGAATTCATTTTGAAGGCTATAACTGTATTTCTCACTCTAAAAAGAATATCCCCTTTGTAATCTCAGCAAAAAGGCCGACCACAACTGTCGAAAGCTGAGTTGATTCTCGCGTTAATAAAGATTCTATCTTCCCCCGTTTTGTCTTCCATTAATTAAACTTCATCCGAAAAATTGATTAACCGTTGATCGGAAACATCCATCAACATTGGGTAAAATACTTTGTCCCATCCAAACTATCACGGTTTTGGCGCATCACCATATAAATTATTTTTTTTACAAACCACCATATGAACTATACGGGTTTTTCAATATGCCCCCTAAACCGGATAAAAAGTAGTTTAGGAAGCACATTGACAAACCCGTGTTAGTTCATATGGTGGTTTGTAAAAGTATTTAGGGGCACACATGGTGACCAAACAACTTTTTCAGCAAAAACCACTTTTATATCTGGTTTAGGGGCACATTGACAAACCCATATAGTTCATATGGTGGTTTGTAAAAATAAATAGTTTATATGGTGATGCGCCAAAACCGTGATAGTTTGGATGGAAAAAATTATTTTACCCATAAATATTCTGTAAAGTTCCTCATAAAAATAATAATCATAAAGTGAGATACAAATTTTCAAATAATGCTTGTCTTGTTGAAATTCGAGATTGATTCACTTATGTTTATTATTTTCTATAGCATGTTACACAAGTCCAATAAATATGAGATTTAAACTGAAAGTTCTTAACGTACATATGAATTGACCATAAAATTCTCAACTCAAAATAATATCAAAAAGTAAGGTAAATAATACCACAAGTCATCATTACTACACAGATTTTTCACTGGATAGCACCTTAATTCATGATTTTTATAAAATTCATTTTAGCTCTAAATAATCTGAAAATTTACAGTATTATTATCAACATAATGATGATCTCATATAAAAATTCTCATAATTTTTGGAATTTAATAGCTTGGTCAAAAACAAGCAAACATATGCTGCAACAACATGAACTTTAATTGAACTTACTTTATAATCTTATTTCATATACTTATATATATATATATATATA